TTAGTTCAGGGGCTTAACGTATCGTTTTGCCATTTCAAAATATTCTAAGAGCCTCGGACGAGACTAAAAGTTTACTAGAATAAGTTTCAAAATAAGTTTCACATTACTAGAGGATGAAAAAAATGAAAATCACAATGGTAAATTATTTATGAAATTATTTAAATATCTTTAATGAATTATTTTAGTGTGTTAATTTATTAAATATATTTAAATATATTTTATAACATTTTAATTGCCACAACATTTTAACTCTTCACAATCTTATTAAAAATTAGTGTAATACAAGTCATCCTCCTAAATTTATTTAAGGATATATATCTAAAAACTTATCTTATAATTAATATTTTTAAAATAAACCATTAGATTAAAAACTCTATTTATGTAAATCATTATGTTAATTTTTAAATTAACCTAACATTTCTAACTTTTTTTATTAAAAATCTCTATTTACTAACATATATTTAATATTATTAAATTTTATATAATTAACAAATTAATTAAATCTATTAAATCTATTTAAAATTTAACATAATATAGACAAAACTTTTAATTTAGTAACTGATTTTTAAAATTATTAATTAAAATATAATATTTTAAAATATCCTTTATGAAGAACATCCTACAAAATATTTTTTCCTAAATTATTAGCACCCCTAGTTATTCTTCTTTCTTTCAAACTAACTTTTACCAAGCCTTAACCGAGACTTCAATTATCACGTACCTTCCCGTAGCAGTTACTTAAGTGGCCCAATAATTATCTTCGTAATTATCTTCTTTATTAGTAATAGCAAGAGGTTCCAATTCAAACAAAAAATCATTCAAACTGTACCACGTTTGGATTAGAGAGAATAAAAATAAAGGAGGGAGAGGAGGGAAGAGGAAGAGAGAAGGAGAAAATATTCTCCATTTGATTATAAAAAAATTAAAGGAAAGATGAAAAAGTCCTTTTTATTTTATTTTTTCTTTTAATTTCCTTCCTCTCCTTTCTCCTTTCTCCTTTCTCCTTTCCTCCATTCTCCTCAACCCAAATATAAGCTTAAAATGAGATTAATGATACTTTCCTCCATTCTCCTCAACCCAAATATAAGCTTAAAATGAGATTAATGATAAAATGAGGTTCAAGTTATTTCTCATTATACAACTCTACACTACAAAATAAATATATAAATAAATATAGATACCCGGCTACTTCAGTAAATTTCAAATTTTTGACTTCTTTTTAAAGTTTTAAGTTTCTTACTTTAGGCTTAATTTTATTGTTTTAATATCTTAGTTTTGACTTGTTTGCATATTTTAATGTTTTCTAATTATTTTTGACATTTTTATAGTTCAGCTGACTAAAAGTCATTCTAGTACAAATCCAAAAACTTATACTAGATATTACCAATCGATTATGGGATCAAATGACGCTTTTACATATTTTCCTCAAAAAGAATGTTTTTAACATACAAAAGTATGAAGTATTCAATAATTCCTATAATAAAAAGGAAAAAAGGATTATCCAATTGACTAAAAATCAACCATTAGGGTGCTCAATCAGATTTTATTTCTAAAGAAAAATAACAACAAAGCTCCTTTGGATCACTAACACCATTCAATAATTAGCAGATGATGCCTGAAAAATGCATTATGCTTCACCTGAGGTTAAGGATTTTAATGGTCCTCACAGAATTGGGTGGCCCAACAAAGAAAGTGGCTGATGATGCTGCATAAAAAGTGTATCCCAGCCTGTGCTTGCATACTTTATTCACATACACAACTTCACATGCTCAAGCGGAAAAGAAAATGAATCATCATGCATTCTTACTGCAACTGATCGAATCACAACACAATAAAGAGGCTTAACAAGTTTATCTACTTTACATGTAGTCCATAAGAAAATCATTCATTTATAAGTAATTAACATTAATTTTTCAGAGCCAGGATAAACAACCAACCACAATTGAAGTATACTTAGTTTAAGCCAAAAGCTGAGATTTTTTTTTTTTTTTTGGAATGCTGCCGAAGATTGAGATAAACCTCAGCTCAGATTATCATATAAAAGACTAATTAGTTTAAAGCAACACCCATACCCATAGTCTACAACCATCAAACAAACGTTTCCAAAATCTTGAAAAAAGTCCACGCACTAAGTATAGATGCTTGTTTCTAAATTTTAACACGTGCATACATATCAACCATAAATGTAACCTTAGCATATACCACCACTCCATTACAAAATGGCTAACATATGTGTTTAGCCCCCTACTTTATTAAGTTTGAAGCTTTTAACCTCTCACTCACCTTCTACTATGAAGTTATTAGCCCTTAAACTTAAAATTTTGAAGATTTTAGCCCCTGGACCAAAGGAATACTTCACTCTCCGTTAAAGTGAAAATAAAATATTTATAGAATCAGTTCTCAAGGATTAAAAATGTAACAATTTAGTTCCAAAAGTTTAAAAATTAACAAAAAAAAAAATAGTAAACTAAAAAGAATTAATAGATGACTTTGTCACATACACTAGAACAAGATTAGATATCTATAATCAAGTTATTATCTCAATTTGAAGAAAGAATTCTAATTGAGATTAAAGAAAATTTTTTAGTTAAACTAAGACAAAAAACCCAAGAGACTAAAAGAATGCAATAAAGATTTTCTTTAATCTTAATTAGATTTCTTTTTTTAGATTAAACCACCCACTCAATTTAATTGTAGATATCTAATATTATTATCATATATGTAGCAGAGTCATCTAATAATTATTTTTAATTTACTAAATTTTTTAATTTCTAAACTTTTTAAACTAAATTATTATATTTTTAATTTTTTAAGATTGATCTTGTAATTATTTTATTCTCACTTTAATGGAGAATTAACAGATTCTGTTAATCTAACGGCTAAAATCTTCAATCCTTTACGTTCAAGGGCTAAAAACTTCAAACTTGTTAACGTGAGGGGCTACATGCAAAATTTGCCCAAACTACCAAAATTTCCAGTCATCTATGGTAAAAGGCTAGCAGGCTAAGCAAAGGTTTTGCTCCCTGTATAGCTATATACAGAATCACATGAGTTCAACTGCAGCCTGTAAGACCTACTTAGCTCTCAAAATATGCATCCAAAGGATGACTAGAAGTTATATAGTTAAAGAAGAGTAAATGCCCTGTATCAAAAATTGTCTAGTCTTATAACCTAAATGTTACATCCACACCTAAAATGTGATTCTATCCAATCTCAAAACAAAATAGAAGTCTTAACTACAACAAACTGACAATTATTTAAATGTAAACCACAAGATGTATGCTTCAACTAGAATCCAATGTAGATCTTTAACGAGAAGTTCTAGATTGATGCAGCTCTAACTTTGGTTGTCTAGGCAAAAGAGTGAGGGCTCGCAAACTATAGGTTCCTCTGATCTTCTAGAGTATGCCTACTTGCAGTAAGTGTGACTATCGAACGACGAGATGTAATGCTGAAAAGAAGAAACCTGCGGGCAACTTCTATGGGAAACTTGTTCTACCTTGCATAAGGATGGTAGCGACTACTGCCTCCATATCCTCCCCTACTACCATACAATCCACCTGGTCCACTAAAACCAGCACCAGGGCCAGAGTCATAACCACCACCAGGGCCTGAACCACCATAACCCCCATAACCTCCACCTCCACGCCCATAAGCACCTAAACCACCCCCACCAAGCCCACCAGCATAAGAACCAAAGCGGCTAGAATAGCCAAATGAGGACTCTCCACGATAACCAGAGAAACCACCAGCACCACCAAAGCCCCCATAACTACCACCAAAATCAGCACCGCCACCATATCCACCGTAATCACCAAACCTACTGCCAAAGCTGCCAAAAGTCCTATAAGGAGAAGGACCAAAACCACCACTACCACCACCAAAACCACCAAAATCACCAAATCCACCAAATCCATCATTGTATGGATGCCCTCTAGATTCACTACCATATGCAGGGCCAGGGGCTGGGTTTGACGGTTTTCTTGGTTCAGCCTTCTTGATTTCAACCTACAACAAAGAAGTAAGTTAACCTAGACTCCATTCTCCAGAAAATTATATTGATAGCCTGCCTTCTGGAAGAAAAAGGACACCAATAATTCTGCAATGAATTCAGCTAAAATGAAAACTAAACTATTATAGAACCCTGAAATCCAACAGAAATACATGATAATATTCAACTGAGAAGAATATTTAAATTGGTTGCTTCCATCATCTAAACATACTAATACGCAATACTGAACTGCTGCCTCATAAAAAGCAGATACATATCTGCCTGCAACTGCTTTTAAATGCAACCATTCCACAAAACTCACCTGAGTGCCTTGTATATCTATCATGTTTCCTTCTGCCAGCAGATTATCAACAACTTTTTCACTGTCAAAAACAATGAAACCAAATCCCCGAGAGCGCTTTGTGGCATGATCACGTATTACCTCATGTTCCACCACCTTTCCATATTTTGAGAATAAGTCCTTGAACTCATCTAGTGTTGCAGAAACACAAGTAAAAGAAAAGAAAACTGACCAAATTAATAGCATTAATAACGACAACAATAAAATATTGAATGCAAAAACTGTATTTAAGCATGTTTTGGTTTGTACAGATAGCACACCTTCTGTCATTGTTGTTGGAATTCCACCAACAAATATTTTCCTTGTCTTAATGTCACTCGACTGTGAAGCACCTTTTGGGATAGTTCTTTTGATCTCAACCTACTCCACAAGTAATTAATCATGCAAATAACATTAACTCTCATTCACAATATTAATGGAAAAATTATGTTTAGGATGATACATCTGAGTTGCATTGGTGACGTGCTTCAAAAATAGATACATACTTCAAATAAAATGTAGGACCTTATGAAAGCCTAATCTTCTACTGGGTTGTTCAGACTAAGCTAGAGAAATTAATTAGGCTCATCAATCTCAAAAACACAGAAATAAATAAAGTTTATCAATCTCCATAACACCAGATAACAAACAAAATGAAACAAACCCAATATAATGTACGATTGCTTGCTGCCTTCAGATAGTTTTCTAGATTTTCCATAACCCATAACCAAAAACAACTTTCCCTCATTTCCTTTGCTCAGACCTGGCCACAATTATACTTAATTTCAATTTTTATCTTTTCTATGCTTGTCCTGTAAGTTCTAGGCTGCCAAACAAAACATGATAGGAAAATCAACAAAGAAAAATAAAAGGAGAATGCACTCACCTGTTTGCCATTAATAACATGGTCCTCTTGCATAACAGTGTCCACAACAGAAGGATCCGCAAATGTGATGAACCCGAACCCACGAGGCCTGCCGGTGTGACGATCCTTCATAATAACATAGTCCGTTATCTCCCCATACCTCTCAAAGTACTTGGTGAATTGCTCTGAAAGCCAGCTCACACAAAATCAAACATCAATCATCGATCAAACCTGTGAACCAAAACACCAAGAGTTATCAAAAGTGCTCAAAATCAAAACTTCCACAAAACCCACCTAAAGTAGTGTCCTTGGCTAAGCCTCCGATGAAGATTTTCCTGCAGCAGAGCAACAACAACGAAAATAAGAAGCAAAACGAAAACCCCAAGAACTGTTAACGCTCTTGCAAACATAAAACACCAACAACAGGCATATAGGTACATACCCAGGGCTAGCGCCATCATTTTCCGCACCCCTTCTGGAGCCCATGCGTGTTACGCTTCGAGATCTAGAAAGGAGGTGATGAAGATAGTTAGGGCTTGCAGATGAGATGGGGGTAGGGTTGGAAAGAAATTTTGCGGGTTTCTTCGAATGCAGGGGCTTGAACCTTCTGGACAGCTGGATATCATTTAGCCTGTAGTATTATTTTAAGGGCTAAGTTTAAGCAAATACTGTAGTAACTATTGACTTTTTTTTATTATTATTTTGTAAATTAATTATTTTTTATATTTAATTAATCTATTAATTTTTAAAATTGTATCATGTTAATCGGCAAAAGGTACCGTTTGCATTTTAACTTTTTGAATTTGAGACATTTTACCTTTTATGTTACGATATATGATTTTTTATCTTTCATATTTCTAAATATATGATTTTTTATTTTTCATATTTTTGAATTTAAGGAAATAAAACAAAATTTAACCACAAAAAGGTCACATGTGACACCTCCATCATTAATTTTCGTCATTTATTAACGTGTTTATATCAACTCAAACTTTTTTACATGTTAGCAAGTCCGGCTTGCATTGAGCTGAAATTTTACCCCAATAAATTTAGTTTTTTTTTTTTGGTTCCTCACTTTCCTCTTCCCTTCTTCAAGCTTTTATTCAACTTTTGCAAATCTTTAATATCTCAACAAATCTATTCACCTCAATCAATCTCTACATAACCCTTTCTTCAACTTATGCAAATCTCTAACATCT